TGTGTGTACAAGTGGGGGCCAGAGAGGATGTTGGACCCTCCTCAATGCCTGCCTTATCCCCTCGAGACAGGGTCTCTCTTTGAACTTGAAGCTTGGTGTTTTTTCTAGGCTGGCTGACAGGCCAGTGAGCTCTTGGGATTCTCCTGTTTTCATCCCCCAATGTTGGGGAGTTATAGGCACATTTGACCTTGCCAGGCTTTTATGTGGGTGCTGAGGATTTGAACTCAGATCTGCATGCTTGCCTAGGAAATGTTCTTTTTAAAATTTTTAAAAATTTTATTTTTTAAAAATTTTATGTGTATGACTATATTGCCTGCCTGTATGTAAGTGCACCTGTTGTGCAGTGCCACAGAGGTCAGAAGAGGATGTTGGATCCTCTGAAACTGGAGTTATGGGCAGTTGTTAGCCACCATGTGGATACTAGGAATCGAGCTGAGGTCCTCTGCAAGAGCAACTAGTGCTGTTTACCTTTGAACCATCTTCTCCATCCCCAGGAAATGCTCTTACCTACTCAGTCATCATCTTAGCCCCTCCTTAATGAATTTTTAAACAGAGAAACTGGTAGTAGCAAAGTTTACTCTCCATTTCTATGGCTGTGTATTGGTGAAATACTTTTATGTTTCAGTTTGATTCCTTTTTGTGTGACTGTTGCTGAACTAAGTTTTTTAGGGCATAGGCAGTATCCATGTCTGTACCTAGATCATCAGTGACCATTGTGATTTGAATATGAAATGTTTCTCAAAAGCCCATGTGTTTGAACACTTGGTTCTCAGCTGGTGGTGTTTGGGAAGGTTACAGAACCTTGAAGGTAGAGCTTTGCTGAAGGAAGTATGTCTCTAGGGGTGGGATTTGGGGTTTCATATCTGGCCCCACTTCTTACTATCTCTCTGCTTCCTGAGTATAGATGTTGTGTGATTAGCCAGTTTCCTGCCATTATAAGCCAAAATAAAACCTTTCTCCCTTAAGTTGTTTGTGTTGCAGTGTTTTATCATACTACAGAAATAAACCAAGACAGACGTTAGTACTGAGGAATGATGGTGTTGCAGTGACATGTGACTTTTAAGCATTTTGAGCTATTTTATTGGAGGAATATGGAAGGAAGCATTTGGCACTTCGGGCTGGAAAAACCATTGGATATTATGGGCAGAGGTTAATGGACTGTTCTTGTGGGATCTTGGAAGATTAAAAATACTGAGAAGTGTAGATAGTAGAGAGCCTAGTCATGAAGTTTCAGAAGGGAACAAACACTGTACTAGGAACTGGGCTGGAGGCCACTTGCATAATATTTGGCTAAGAATCTGGCTGGGGGGAGGGGCTCAGCGGTTAAGAGCACTAGCTGCTCTTGCAGAAGACCTGGATTCGATTCCCAGCACTCATATGGCGGCTAATAATCGTCCGTAACTCCACTTCCAGGGAATCTGACACCTTCTTTGACCTCTGTGCATGACATGGATGCACTTACACACATGTAGGCAATACACTCATGCACATAAAAATAATAAAATTAAAAAGAATCTGATGAGCTGGGCATGGTGACATACACCTTTAATCCTAGGCAGAGGCAGGCGGATCTCTGAGTTCGAGGCCAGCCTGGTCTACATAGTGAGTTCCAGGCCAGCTGGGACTATAGGGAGACCCTGTCTCAAAAAGACCCTCCCCCCTCAAAAAAAGAATCTGACTTTGGTCTGCTCATATCTCGGGAACCTGAGTGATGCTGAATTTAGACAATAGACTGAATTGTTTGGCAGAGGGAATTTCAAGACAGAATGGTATTCAAGGCTGATGCTAAAGTATCATCTATAATTGATAAAGAAATTAGCACTATTGTAGAGAAAACTCCTGCACTGCACTGGAAGAATGGGAAAAAGTACCCATTGGAGGCTCTGTCTTCTAAGATAAAGGAGTTTCCTGCTCCTCAAAAGCAACTGGCTAGGAAATTATTTTCACAGGGTCAGCACACATAGGCTGATATAGCTGTAGTCCAAGGTAGCTGGGCTACATCTTCAGATGGCTACAGAACTTGGCAATATTGTAAATGTTACCCATGTGGTACTGGTTTTGAAGGATGGAGAATTTAAGATTGAGGGAGTCTTGGAGAGCAGTTGAGGCCAGGCACTGTGTACCAGGGTCATTGCCTACAGTGAGACCCTGAGGGACATTTCATGAAGTTGTTAAGGTGAAGTCTCAGTCACAGTGGAGACCCCAGGATGTTAGAGATGTCAGCCAGAACTGTGGGCTGTCCACTGTGCTGAATAACTTGTCATCTTGACACACCTGGGGGATTTCCTTTAGGCGTGTCTGTGAGGCATTTTCTTGATGAGTGATATGGGGGTGGGGCAGCCCACTGTGAGTGGTAGCATCCCTGGGCAGGTGGTCCTGGGTTATACAAGAAAGCAAGCTGAGCATCAGCCACAGGAAGCAAGCCAGTAAGCAGCATTCATGATTCTAGATTCCTGATTGCCCTCAAGTACAGACTGTCACTTGAGAGATGTGAGAACCTTTTCCTCCCCAAATTTTAGCTGACTAGTGTTTTGTCATAGCAATTGGAAACCAAACCAGAACATCCACTTGAGAGCTGTAAGTGTGGAGCCAGGCTCAGCCTAAAGAGGTTTCCAGCACCCACAACTGTCTATAATCCCAGTTCCAGGAGATCCAACACCCTTCTCTGGCTTTCCAAGGCATTAGGCACATATGTGGTGCACTTACATACATACAGGCAAACACTCATACACATAAAATAAAAATAAATAAATCTTAAAAGTCCAAACATTCTTATTCCAAAAGGGAAGAATCAGAGCATCACAAGTAACAGTCACATCAAAATAAAACCAAACTCCAGCAGGCTAAAATACCAAATCCTATAGCTCAGTGTCCAGAATCTGGGGCTTGTAATGTAATCAACTGGGTGCCAAAGGGGTTGGGTAGCCTCAAAATGAAAGAAAAAGAGGACCATGCATATATTGTAAGCTTGTGAGTATGAAGAAAAGTGGTTAAGGATGATGGCTAGGTGGCTAATATTTATTTTGGTTGGATGGGTGGCGGTAGTTGGGGAGGTAGGTAGAAAGGGAGAATAGAATTTTTTTTTTTAGAGATTAAAAGAGAGAGAATCTTGTTCATGATCATATCTGCATTATCTGAATTATGTAAAATGTATTTGAAGAT